GATATATATATATATATATATAAGATTATGTTGTAATTCCACATAAGGATCTTTATATTTTTCAATTGTTTATTCCTATACATATATATTATTGCATGAATATTCAAGTATTGTTTGCATGATAAACATAAGTTAGTTTATATTTATGTTTTCCGCTACTTAGCCATTGAATTGTATTATGTATAGATTATCTAGTCAAGTAAAATTTTTAATATATTATCCAATCAAATAAATTATTTTTAATTTTTTTAATCAATACTCAATTTTATAATTAACATTATATATATATATTCAAATCTTAAATAACACTTTTATTAATTAAATTTATTTTAAAAAAATTATAAATTAAAAAGCTTTGAATGATTGCATATCTTCTCTCTCTATATATATTTATTTATTTTTTCTTTTCATTATCAACAAAATATAATTTTAAATACTTTTTCATGTTTATTTTTAGGGTTTATCTAAACATGAAAAAGTTTAAGGTTTATATACAAATAAAAAATTCTAATATGGCATATCTTCTATGGATGCCAAGCTGCAATGGACGTTTGGATATATTCAGGTTTGTGGCAAAAAATTCGCCAAACAGTGGAATGAGGAGAGGGTTTTATGTTAATCACTTTTGAACTCTTGGGCTACTTACTAGAACATGACATCATCTCTTTTGTCCTCATGTTATGGTGCATATGGAAACGCAAGAATGATAAAGTTTGCCATGATGAGTTAACGCACGAAAGAAATGCAATTCCATTTCAACGCCTCCTATCTCGTTCAATTGGGTGAAACCTCCAACAGGATCCTATACGTGTAATCTGGATGCTGCAATTTTCACGAATTCAGGCACCTTTGGTTTTGGATTGTGTATACGAGACTCCAATGGGTCTTTTATGGCAACAAAGACAGGTTGCCAATTAGGACTACCCCCACCACACTAAGTAGAAGCTGTTGCCCTCCTGGAAGTGCTTCAATGGTTGCTAACTCTCCCAAATGAATCGGTCTATGTTGAAACAGATTGCAAGCAGGTTGTTGACAACCTCAATCACTCCTTTATTCACCATTCGAAGTATGGTATCATTCTAGTACAATCTAGATATCTACTCACCTCACACGACAACCTCAAGGTTAGGTTTATTTGGAGACTGACCAATTGTGTCGCTTACTCCCTAGTCAGGGCGTTAAGATCTTTTGCTAGTCCCAACTCTTTTGATTTTATTCTTCCCTGTATTGATTCAATTATTATGAATGAAATGAGTTAAGTCCTTTCTCTTAAAAAAAAATCTAATATATATTATTAAAAATAATTTATTCATTTCGATAGTTAAAATGATTATTTATCAAATTAGAGAATTAGTAATTAGTAGTCATATAACTATTAAATAGCCACTAATTAAGTTTAATTAAACTAATTAAAGGCACTTAATTGCATTAAACTTAAATCATCCTGTTACTTTTAATTTGGACAAGTTGCTGATAAATTAGAATAGAAAATAATGTATTAAGGTATTTTTTAATTAAATATCCGGTCAAAAATCCTTTATTTTCTAAATTGTTTTGATTAATATTAAATATAAATTTTTTATTCAAATATTAATTAATTCTTTCGCCAATCAAAATTATTTTTACAAATTTATAAATTAAAAGTTTTGAATGCCAAAATATATAATATTCTCGTTATCAATAAACTAAAAATTTACGTGCTTTTTAAATATATGCTTTTCATATTTATATATATTTATAAATACTTGTAAATATATACATTTTTTTAAGTAATATATTATTAAATAAAGTGTATTCATTTTTATAATCAGAATAAATAAATTTTTTTACACCAATCAGAATAAATAATTAGTAACTTGCATATCTAACCCATAATTAATGGTTATTCAATTACTGATAAGAAGTTAATTATATTTAGTGTGCAATTTGCTCTGGGCTAGCTTTATCTTGCATTCATGAATTTCTATTTGATTATCTTGATAAATAGTTTTAATTTTCCGCAAACTACCGATTAGAATGCAAAAACATACCGGTTAACATTTCACGTGTTGAAAATTCTCAATTTGTTTCTTATACGTAAAAATTTATTGAATCAATCCCTACGCTTAATTATTAAATGTTAACAACTTAATTCTTGATATCTTTAATTTCATTCTCATTGTTAATTTAATCTTTATGCATATAACACATTTTCAATTTAGTCCTTACACATCTAATATACTTTTAGTTTAATCTTATTCATAGATTATCAAATTAATTGTGTTAATTATGTATAACCAAATTAAGAATGCATTATAACCACATTAGTAATATATGAAAGAGTTCATAATTTTAGAGACTAAATTAATAACGTTTACATGTGTAAAGACAAAGTTATATATCTAACTAAACATATATTAAAAATTCAAAATTTATTATTTAATTGAAGATCTTTTATTTGTTTAAAATAATTTAAATATCTTTTTAATCTTTATAATTTGAACCCCTATAAAGTTATTTCGATCATTATAATCTTTGAAACATTTCTTTATATGTTTTTTTTAGTGTTTGTCGATAAAGAAATTATGTTAAGTTAATATGTGACACATATTCACTGCAACCATTTTTTTTAATTATAGGGATAAAAATTCAAACTTTTAATGCAAAGGAATCAAAACTAAAATCAAATAAGTTATAGGACTAGAAATGTATTTAAACTCGTTATAAATTGCATAACAAGTACACTAGTGTGTAAATTAATTACTCGAGTAATTATTTAATTAATATATTATACGAAGATAGAAACTTTCATGGTGAGAAAAACTTTACGTGAAAATAAATGTTTACCTATTAATATTTAAATCCCATGACTAAATATATACATCACACAAACACAACGACGAATTATACAAAAACACATTATTTAAATCATAAAACTAATTACACATAAAATATAAATAAATAAATTATTATTTTAATAATTAATGTATTTTTTCATAAAATTATCAAGAAAATATATTTGTGTTCAACAAATTTACAATTTCTAAATTTATAAAATGATTCATTTTATCATTCACTATATTTTTATTTGTTTTTTTTTCTTTTTTACAAATTAGTATATATTGTTAGTATCAATTAGTTTTGTCTAATTTAGTCTATATTTAACAAAAGTCTAGTTTTTCTCGATTTGGATTGGGCTTAGTCATAAAGACATTTGAGTTTACATGTTCAGCCCATTTGTTTATTTTTTTAAAATAAAATAAACATTTATATATATTTTTTAATCCATAAAAATTTCAGTAATGACAATATGGTTTGAACTTAGGACTCTATACATCCTATACCAACTCACACCACTAACTTGACTCTAATATTTTTTTTTCCTTTTTCTTTTTATGCATTTATCTAAATTATTTTTCTTTTTTATTTTAAAGAAAGAAGTTTTTTTTTATAACTTTTTAAGAATTAAATCCTATCAACTTTTAAAAAATTATTTTCTAAATTAATATTTTAGAAATATTTATTTTATTTTATTTTAAATAAATTGTCATTCTCTCCTCACTCAATTTAATTATGAGAGTTGTTTGCATATCTTTTTATTTATAAATATCCCACCCTGTCTCTCTTTCTCTCTCTCTATCTATCTAT